GGAAGTGCGGTATTTAGAATAGTGAAGAAGACTGAAATCTCTTTGATAACCACTCATTTCTGTTTTCTCTAGGGCCGAAATGGGAAAGGCTCCATTTTTGTGTGGGCTTCTGGGAACGGAGGCCGTCAGGGTGACAACTGTGACTGTGACGGTTACACTGATAGTATCTACACTATCTCCATTAGCAGTGCTTCTCAGCAAGGCCTTTCTCCCTGGTATGCAGAGAAGTGCTCTTCAACTCTGGCCACAGCATACAGCAGTGGGGATTATACTGACCAAAGAATTGTAGGTTGTTTTTACCAGATTCAGAACAAACATAGAAATGTTTTATATATGCAAATAACAAAGTGAGAGCTCTTGAATGTTTGGTTTCAAGTACCTGCTTTACATTATGTGTTACATGCTTAGTGCTTTTGCCTTGAAACACCGAGGGGCTTGTAATCCAAAAAGTGATTGTATTCCTGGAACGTCTTCTACTGTAAAGCAATGGCTAAACAAAGTCATTGTGTCAGTGCAGTTAAATCAGCACGCTGGATTTGTCTGCTGTTTGTGTATGACAGAGGTCTCTGCATGAACTTTGGTATGGTCCCATTCTTCAGAAAGGGCAGATGGAGAGAGATTTAAAGTAAAAGAAAAAAAAGAACCTGTGAAGTTAGTGTACCTTATAAGTCAGTACCTCTGGCATTAGAAAGATTGTCAGTCCCCAAGTTCCCACTGCCGACAGCCACAGCAGTGCTTCCAAACCTGTAGAAGGTACTCGGTGAGTAGGCATGTCAGTCTGTGTGCCATCATTAACTGTGTAAGAAATAACTTGTACTGAAAAAAACTGCTGTGATAAAATAATGCTGAAGTACCTGTAATTTCTGTTCGGCTCTGGTGGATGCTAATTTTACAATAAACTACAGTGATGGGGATTAAAACAATGTCATTCCAAGTTAGCGAGGAGATCAGTCCTTCCTAAGTGGCTTCTTTTCATAGCCAAGATGTAGGTATATGGGCAGATTAGTTTGGTATTTAATTTCCAAATAAAGCACGTATTTCATTGCAAATTATAGTTCTTCTGCTGAAGAGGGAGCAGAACACCAATACTAATCCTACGAGTAGTTTTCCATCAAGCAGTAATTTTAAATGTTCTAGGCCCAACACAATGATCTGTCTTTATGATTCACCAGTAAGCCTGAAACACTTATCGTGAGACCTTAGAATAAAATAAGATATTCAGTGTGGGAGTATTTTGTTCCAACACAAAGCATTTTGATACAAAAATTACAGTTGAAGTAAAAAAGAGTGGATTGAAATATGAACGGATTTAAACATCCATCACTTTTTCTGCTGGTGAGGAATGTATTAATACGCAGTGATTAACGGATACATGGTTATGTTTGTGAGGGTGGGTATGAGTGTATTTACCACTGTTTATTCATGCAACCTGGTATTTTTTTGTGTGTTTTTTTTTTCTGCCAGACAAGTGCGGATCTTCACAATGAATGTACAGAGACTCACACTGGGACCTCTGCATCTGCACCACTGGCAG